GTTTTGTTTCTCTTTATTTAGTTGCTGAGCGCTTTTGATATTCTATACAAGTTAGCTATTTCTTTATATTTTATAATATTATACACTCTTATTTAAATACTGTTAACTTATTTTACTTTAACATAAATTACTTGCTTTGTATCCAGTTCTTGGATCCTGCAACTGGAATTTTGTCAACTAATTTAAAATAGAAGGCAGAAATTTTGAGGACGTACCCGCGATGATAAGTTTTATTGTCATTTTAGAGGCGTGATGTCACCCCTGCCGTCCTCCAAAACTGGATAAACATAACCATGCAAATGTGTGTTAAATCCATTGTAGTGGTGATCTATAGGGTGGTGGCAGTCCCACTCCCACCTTTAATCTTAAAAACTGACCAATAAAAGTGTTAAAATAATAACTTTTTAAAAATTCTTTTAAATATAAGTTAGTTTGTGCAATTATATGTTTAATTCGTATTGTGTTGTATTATATGGGTATAATTTTAAGAGATTAACAAAGGCATTTTGTTTAGCATGCAATAAAATTCCATGAGGGACGAGAATTTAGAATTTTAGGATAATTCAGAAACATCTTCATAAAATGTTTCTGAAATTGGTCTTGAATCAAGAATTCCAAGAGGTTTCAAATAATTGATGCAAGAACCATTATAATTCTAAATACTCATTTAAATACTTGGAAAAACTAAGAGTAATTATGCTTAATTATGTCTTTTGTCTCTGTTACTGGCAAAACAGAAAATGTTACTTTATCTTCTACGGCAGATAATTTGTGTGTCTTTTGGATATCACATTCGGTGGTCACTTAAAGTGTATTAGAAAGTGACCATAATATGGTAGCTTTCTAATACACTTTAGCAAATCTCATTACAAGATTTTAACGCCGAGATATTTCAACACTTTAAAAAACAATAAGGACAGAGATGCTATTTGTCGACCTCCCTGAGACCCAGTTAAAATCCCAGGAGTTTTTCGTGCGTGGTTAGTTTCCTCCACCTGTTGCAGGACTGCCAAGCCCACAGTGAAGACTGGAAGAAGGCTCTGTGGGCAGTGTGAAAAATGTAAAAAGTATAACTAAACTCATTGGCCAATGAATTAGAAACAGCAATTTAGTATTTTATTGGACCACCTCTAGCTCGAATTACATCATTTATTCAATTTGGTATGGATTCTACAAGGTGCTGAAGTGCTTGTAAGTCCAATGCACACCATGCATTCACTAGACTTTCCTTTAGTTTGCATAGATTTGACAGAAGTGGACTTTGCTGGCAGGTCTGTCATTCTAACATGTCCCATACATTATCAATGGAGTTAAGATCTGGGCTCTATGGTGGCCAGGGTGGGTTGTGAACCACTTGCTGAACAATTCTTGTGCAATGGACAGTAGCATTGTCATCAAAGAAAGAACCATCACATGCAAGAAAAAAAAAATCCAATGTTGCAGGATGAACTTGATTGGCAATAATGTTCAGGTACTCGTTGGAAGTCACCCAACATTCCAGGAATATCAGCAGACCAGTTTCCTCCCAACAGAACATGCCCCATACCATAACACCCTACCAGAACCTTGAGTTGTGTTAATGAGGTAAGCAGGGTCCATTGTTTCATGGGTCTACCTCCAAACCCTCTGTCTCTACTGTCAGTACAGAATAAGGTGTACCATGATTTGTCTGACCACATTACTTTTTTCCAGTTCTCAGATGTCCAATCATGGTGCTGTTGGTACCACTGTAGATGAACATTCTGATTCTTTGCAGAAATCAGTGGTTTTTCAGTTTCCTGCACATAGTTTGTGTAGTCTGTCAGTTGCTGCAGAGAGGATATCCTTTTTTTCTGCACTAGCTTTTTTAGACAATGTCTATCTCATTACTGATTAACTGTTTTGGAGCCACAGTTACTTCTTTTAGACATCAACTGTGGGTTACTTTTTCACTGACTGAACACTCATGATATTTCATCTTTGAAGAAACCAGTCAGCTCTACAATTCTTGATCTCATGGCTCCAGCAAGAAAGGCACCCACAATCAGCTTTTTTTTTTTTTTATTTTTGAAACTCTGTCAAGTCCTTCGCTTTTCCCATTTTCATACACTTAATGACCATACTAACCAACAGCATTCATAAGTAGGAGTTTATGAACAAGTGGTAACTCACATGACTCAAGTGTTTTGCATATAAGCTGGAAAATTACATTTACTTAATATGCATGGGGTTTCTAATTCATTGGCCAGTGAGTGTAGTTTAGTCAAAGTACAATGTGTATTAGAATAAAAAGAGAGAGAAATTTCTACTTTCATACTATACTCAATCAGAACTTTAGTAGTAATGCTTACTTTTTTCCTTATGGTGTACATAATAAAGGTACTGGCACATTATAGAATGTAAATTATTTTCTTGGCTTTTCTAATCTCTCTGTATTCTAAAAAAAAATTATTTATCTCATCATTTCAAACTTTATAAATTTATCATATGTTGTTTATCTTTCACACACATTAATTAGCAACAGCGCTGAAAAAATGAAATTAAGTAACTTAAATTAAAGTGTTACCTTAAAATTACACAGAGTATTTCTATAAATAAATTAAACTGTAACAAAATATAGAATTAAAAAAGAAATGTAAACTTAAATATTTTTACTGTATATTGGAAAAATTAAGTTTCTGTAGAAAAAGAAATACACTTAAGATATTGATTTTTTTTAAATCAATAAATATATTTAGAAGTTATATATACTTTGTAGTAACTGCCANTATTAAGCAATATTTTGATGATTTATAAATGATTAATCATTATTTTATTATATGTAATATATATTTTAAAATATAAATAAGGTCTAGTGAAATTTTAACTTGTTTAAGCTGTTTTATCAAAGGGGCCAATGATTGTAATGTAGCCATAAATATCTTGCTGTTATAATGGCTGCTTTGGACAAAACAGATGAATCACTATAGCAATAATTTTATAAGACTGGAGAATGTTTGCTTTTTTCTATGTTTGTTCTTCCTTCTTGATGTTTGTATATGATCAACTGATGCAATGCACAGTATGATTGAAAGTTTCAAAAGGCAAATGGAATTGTAGGCATTTTCTGAATGGCCTAAGGTTTTCAGAAATTTAAGGACAAATCCACATTTGTACAATGTTATGACACCATCACACCAGTATTCAAAACTGGACAGAAATTTAAAAAGATATACACCTGGATAGATTGACCAACCAATGCAGAGAAAGAAGTTAGCAGCAGGTTTTTGGATGGCTTGTTAGAAGAGAAGTCGATAAATTTAAATAGAGTTTGGCATTGAGGAGGATGCAGATATTCTTACTTTTAAGCTACGACTGGCAATAGAAGACCAACTAGAAGCTGTTCTTCCCTGTGTTACTTAAGATTTCTGCATATTTTACTACAAATTGCAGTGATTTGACTGACCTTTGTGGTTGCAGAATCAAACCATCCAACTATTGGAAAGAGTTTTGTAAACTTTTGAATAGTGCTCGGGTCTCCAACATATGAAACAAAATGGGTGAGGATGACAAACAAAATGGAAATGGAAAGTTGAAAATATACAGTGAAAATCAAAATTAAAGATTAGAAATTAAAAATTAATTCACTTTTCCTTTTACATTGAGAAAGAATTCAGTTGGTTAGGCCCTTTGTTTATTCATTTTCGCATGCTGATTAATGTGAAAGATAAGTGGCATATTTTATAATGTCCCTTTTTTATTGGAATGCTTTTTGATCTATTTGAATATAAAATACAGGCAAAAGTTCTACATTACATATTCACAAATATCTTCTTCACCTTTCATTAAATCAGGGATCGCCAAACTTCTTTGATCGTCAACCCCCTACAACTTTTCGAAACCTCACATCGACCCCACCAAAAAGTTTGTGTTACAAGCAAAAAAAACAAGCTCTTACTATTTTAATATATATCTTTTAATTTTACATTTATTGTACATATGTTAATAATAATTTTTGTAACTGACAATCAATAAGACAGATAAGCTTGATAATCCTTAGCAAGATTAGCAATATTTGATCCAAAATTTTTAAGTTTTAGCCTTTTCATCAACCCCCAATAATGTAATATCGACCCCTAGAGGTTGATATAGACCGCTTTGGCAATCCCTGCATTAAGTTATGCATTTTACAATCAAGTAACCGAAACTTTGTAACAGTCTGATCTTTTTGGACAGCTTTTGGCTTCCTACTAAAAATATTGACAAACGCGTGTTAATATATGACAAATGCTTACTTTGTCATGCCAAAATATTGTTGATATAATCATTAAAATTATATTTAAATCAATAGTGCAGAGTAGGATTCGTCTTTCCAATACCAAAATGCATTGTTAGATGCATTATGTATATTAATATATAATAAAAACAGTTATTGATATGTTGAGGAGAATTTTGAAAGTATATTTGCCATTATAAACTTTATTTAATATTTGCAAGATTAATATAATTATTTTTTTGTTAAAAACGTTAGTAATTAATATGAGATTCTGAAAATGTATTTTCTAATTTTTAACAGAATATTTTAGTTGTGGAAGATATCGTAGATACGGGACAAACTATGAAAAAAGTCATTAGTTTAATGAATAGTTTCAAACCGAAGACAGTTAAAGTAGTAAGGTCAGTATATAATATTTATCATATTATTATTACAACTAGATCGATAATTATTTCAAATACTGAACGGACGGCTGGATTCCGTAGCCTCATTGCCTGATAAAGAATCTGACCGTTTGTTTGGTATAATATTTCATTAGTAAAACTTTGTATCTTAAATTTATTATGATTATTAAGCATAAAGTAACTAAATAAATTTTTAATCTTAATGTTACTCTGTAAAATTTTAAAGTTCATTGATGTAGACATATTTTGACATAATAAAAATAAAAATACTTCAAAAATATAATGTATACAATGAAACATTTACAAAATCTGGACATAACATAAGATCACTAGTCTCAAGTAACAAGAATATGCCAATAATAGAGAAATAACAAAAATCTTAAGAATGTATGGCTTTTTATACATAAAATTTTTATATTTGGATTGTCCAAACTTTAAAAAAAGATTTTTGAAGTTGTGTATATTTGCATCTGGTGATTAGAAGTACAGTACATAAGATGAATTCTGGGACAGACAAGGAGGGATATGTACGAGAACATATTGAGCTGCAAAATAACTATTAAAGACCATTAAAAATTAAAAATTGTAGAATATTGCAGGATGGTAATTAAGTTTAAAATTAAAATCGAAGATGCACAATGTCGAGAAAGGCGTCATCGTTCATTTGCTTTCATCGTTCTGGAATACAATTTTTGACAACAGATCATCCTTTGTAGGCTATTGTAGGCTAAAAAATGCTAGATTAATGCTATTAATTTAATTCTTACTTTCTTGTTTTATCATTGAATGCTATAGAAATGTCTCTCATCAATGTTTAACCATTCTACAGATATTTTAGGGAGTTTTGACACTGATAAAGTTAACTAGGAATTTTATACAGAATTTTGTTTCTTTCTTGTAAATATGGATTTCTTAAAATTATGCGAAAAATCATGCAAATTTAGAATGACTTTTTGAACCATTTTTAGTGATTTGGTTTTGTGTTATTTGGATAAGTGGGCCGATTCTTGTGAATCAAATCCTGCCTCTGACAGAAAATATTGAGGCCTGCCCTAAGAAATACTACAGTAAGCATTGTTTGATAACTAAGATTCTGATTACAAATTTGATTTTAGGAAGGAATTTGAATTCATAGTTTTCATATATTAATTCTTTGAGAGTCATACACATGCCAATACATATTCCACTTTCTATATTATGGACTACATTGTTATGGACACATAACACCATGACCACCCTTTGTGACTTTGTTACTAGTTTTTGTAGGTGCAAAAAAGTTATGCTTGTACTAATATTTCTCGATTTGTGATCTTAAGGCTGGCCAGGATTGTTTTTATCTCATCCTTTGCCTAATGGCATTGGTGCCAACTTGCCCTAAGTGACCTTTTCTCTGATGTCAAATGATATTAAGCTGGAGGACATAGAACGGGTGATAGAACTTCGCAGACATGTAGTAAAATAAGCAGTAGCGATGCATCTCCAGTAATTGGTGGTCAATAAATGCTATCCCAAGTTGTGAAAATTATATGGCATACCTAGGAAGTCGCAGTGGTTCTTGCGGGACAAATTCTTTATGGACAAGATCATCAATGTTGAAAAATACGATGAGCATTTGATGATCTTTGTTTTGGATTTAGTCCTTCTTTGTTTGTTTTTGGCTCACAAGTACCCAACTATTCAGAACTTTTCCTTTTTATTGTAGGCTGAAATTGGTAGAACAGGATTTGCCATCAGTAATGATTCTTTTTTGAAAGGATTATTTGCCTTTGCCATTTCAATGAAGTCATTGCCAGTATTTATGTGCCATTCCTTTTGATCTTGAATCCTGTATGGAATGAACTTTGTATACACCTTTCTTTTCTTCAATATACCCAGAGTAATTTTGCACAACTATTTACTAATTGAATTTTCTCTGCAATCATTCTAGATGTCAACTGACAATCAGCAAGTAGGAAGTCACAAATCTTCCCAACATTCACAGTTGTCAAATTTGTGGCTGGATGTCTTGCTCTTGCATCATCATTGAGTGATTGCATCCTTTCTTGAAATCATTTCTACCACTCAAACATCTTTGAATGAGATAATTGTATATGGAGACAATTGTTGGTTCTCCTTGTCTTTTGTTGCCCCCTTGGGACAATAGCATCCATTTTGGGGATCATCATTGTAAAGCATCTGTGGAACAATGAATACAAAAGGTGCCTTTTTGTTTTGTGTGCAGTGCCATGGTTTCTGCATTTCGTTGATTATGCAGCAAGAAGACAATCGAGAGAGAAGCCAACCCCATTTGAGAAATGTTTATATGCTGTCGGTTTTAAGAATCTATGAATGAGTAATGGATAATGAACAGTTACCAAGCCACAGAAGAGGATGCCTGTTCAAAGAGCCAAGACATTACTTATGATAATTTTTAAAATTTTTATTTACACTGCAAGTGTTGTTATCAAGTAGCTATTAGCCTCCCATAAAATAAAAGAAAAACAAAACTTTTTTACAAGTTGGAAATGAATTAAGCAAGAGGTTGATGCTTCTTGAAATGATCAGAAGGAACAAAGAATTGTCACTTTGGCCAATTGCAACATGGGGAAATTGGAAACTTGCATTTGGTGACAAAGTTACTCTTGCATCTTACTGTCTCAAGAAAGTAGTAGTAGTAGTAGTAGTAGTAGTAGTAGTAGTATTGTATGGCACACTTTGTTACCAATTGGAGATTAATGGAAGTTACAAAGAAAAAAGAGTGGAGATGAAATTGCACTGTAATAAAACAAAAGGCACTATTGACATGGCTGATCAAATGTCAAGGGCCCACACTATAAAGAAGGAAGAGTGATCTACACGATTAACATTGATCTACACGATTTTTCTATTTGTTATCCTTTTGAATGGCTTTGTGATTTAAAAAAAATCCAATTGAACGAAGGAAAACACACAAGCGACAGCCGTTCTCAGAAGCTGCTGGCTATTGTACATCAAAAGCATTGTCTAATTCAGCTGCCCAAACAGATATGGCTTCAAGGAAAAGATAAATGTGCAATGCATCCAAGAAAGAATGACAAAAAGATAAATAAATGTTCAGCAAATTCCAGTCTTATGTTTGGCAAGATACTGTATTTCTGGCATTTTTACAAGGCATTAACTAGCAATCTTTCTCGCAAAACACGTAAATGGTGCATAATCTTGTACATCAAAATTTGGGAATAATGACTGTCGTTTCTGTGAGAAACAATAACCTAATATTTTGAGCAATCATGCACTACAGCCAGGGTCATTATTGGATCTACCCTTACTTAACATAGAGAAGAAATCATCAGTATTACAGGAAAACTTATTCCACTTAAATACATTGAGTTGTGTAATAATAGGTAATTAATATAAAATTAGAAAAAGGTATCACAATTATTTTGTTTCATTATGCTAACCTTTGTAATTAATTAATATTTATTTTCTGTTTTCAGTTTGTTGATAAAAAGGACACCGCTAAGTAGTGGCTTTCAGCCAGACTGTAAGTTTGGTTTTGGTATTCTGCGGTTATTTAATTTTAAAAATATATTTTTCATGATTTATTTATTTCAGATGTTGGCTTTGAAATACCAGATAAATTTATTGTCGGCTATGCCTTAGATTACAATGAATATTTCAGAGATCTTAATGTAAGTTTGATAATTATTTCAGAAAAAATAAAGGAATTAAAGTATTCTAAATCTACAGTTGGATAATTAAAATTTTTTCTTTATCTTGCAGCATATATGCGTTATTAATGAACAAGGTAAACAACAATTTAGACAAAAGAATCCGTCGTAGAAGAGAAACCACGATCTTCATCAATTCTTCCGGTATTTAAAAAATACTCTTTACTATTTGAAACTATGCAAAAGTTTAATTCTTGTCACCTTTAGAGTTTCTTAAATAAGACTAATTATGTAAAGGAATCTTACGAAGAAATCTCGAGTATAACGTTACAAGTAAGTACAAGGTGTAAATACTTGTCTCTTTTTCCGAACGTAGTCGTTATATCGAGTGGTACATCGTTTATTTGTATTTGTTCTTATCAAACTGTCGTACATTGTCACAGATCGTGTATTTTGTAAAATTCTAATTTAAATCAAAGAATTAATTTCATAAAATATGTAAATGTGATACTTACTTACAAATGGCTAAGAATTCTAAGGATTTTCTAAAATAAAAATATTTGTTTGAGATAAATTTTTCTGTGTAGCAACCAAACGAAGAAAATAATTCCTTTTTTTATCTTCTAGATCGGCTTTTAAATACAAAAGCACTGGATGACTTGATATTTTCAATCATATTACAAAATATAAAATATTCTTAAAATTTAGGTGAACTTTAACAGTCCTTGAATGGAAGGAAACAAAACTAGACTAGCAAACTAGAAGATACATTGTATAAACAGTAACTCGGTTTTAATAGTCCAAACATCTAAAAGGTAAATTATTTTTTGGCTAGAATTAAGCTAATTAAGTCAAATTCTATATTTTAATTACTAAAAGAGAGTGGTAATATTGCCATTTTGTGCCAAGATTACTATTTTGGAATTAATTTTGGATCTTAGTTAAATAATTTTGAAAGAAATGGGAGGGATGCAGTAAAGGTTTCATCTGATCTTAATTGGGCTAAATCTTGTGATTTAATTAATACACTTTATTCTAGCCATAAGATAATTTGACTTAGATATATAAGAATCATTGAGAAGTGGAGACAATTTTACTAGTTTCTTCTTATATTTATTCATTAAATAACTTCAATACAGATACAGACAATCAGCAACATAATGCTTTTGTATTGAGAAAACAAAATTTGTTGTATGTAGTATATACTGTAAACCATATCTGATTACAGTAAGCAGTGTCATCAGAATTAACATGTCACAAAACACAAAAATTTTATAATTATTCCTTAACATGTCCTTTTAAAGTCAGTCAGAACAAAATTAGAATCTCCACTAATTATAGTCCCATTTACTTCTCTTCATAACCTTATTGTTATTAGTTATAGGTGGATCTTCATTATTACAACAAGCAGATTCAAACTCTGTTTCTCTTTTTAGAGTATACAATGAGAAAACTTTAAATAAATTTTTTTTCACCCTTTGAAAACTCTTTATTCCATAGATACTATAGTCAAAATATTTTCTAACATGAATGTAACAAATGCAAAAATTTCATAAATTTCTTTAATCCCAAACTTTTATTGAAAAATATAAACTCTAACCTCAGTAATTTTGAAATAAAATGAAATTTAACAAATACTTGCAGTAACCATTTAGCTTTAATTGGCTGGCGTTACTAATTTCTTAATGTTTTTCTTGGCATTCTTATTTTGATTAAAAATATATTGAGTTTTCTCAAAATGCAGGATGATGATGATGATCTTGCGGTCGTTAGTTTGCATGATCGCCCCTTGTGCATTTTTGCAAATGAAAAACTGAAATTATCTGGTTTTTAGTATGGAAATATCTAAAATTATCCACAAATACATAATATAAGAAATTAGAAAAGTCAATTCTGGCCTCAAAATGAAAAAAGAAAATAGACTTTGGCAGATGTTATATTCTATTAAAAATACAAAAAGGGCCATAAACAATGTTGATTAATTTTGTCGATACAAAAGTGGCCAATTTGTTTGGAATAATAATTATTTCATATATTTCTAAAAAAAAAAACAAAATGAAAGTTAATAAAGATTAAGATAATTTAAAGGATTAAATTATCTTAATTATTAATATATATTTGGTGTTAAGATTTCAAATAAACAATATAAAATATGGAAGTTTAGTGTTTCTAATGCTATTTCACTTAAGTGCAAAAAAATTAATAAGTAGTCTCTTCAATTGCAGGTATTGTAATTAGAATGTAATGTACTTGACTAAAAATGAATGAAATTATATTATATTACTCATTTTATAATAGTTATATGTTCAAAAAAATGAAAAATGTTGAAGAAATTGAATGAATTAACAATTCAGGACTTGCTCTCACGTTAATACAATAATTATCCTAAATTATAAGAATACAAATATATTTTAGAATTAATAGATAAGCAGTGAGAAAGATAATCTGTTTTACCATAAAGGGACGAACATAAAATACAGAGTTTATAGTAACTGATATATTTTCCAAAAGTAGCTTATTTAATAATAAAATTTATTGGTTTCAACAATTAAATTTGTTCAGATAGAATATTCATTAACATTATAGAAATTAAAACAAAAATCTCAAAGTTTAGACTTTTCTTTCTATAAATAAATTAAACTGTAACAAAATATAGAATTAAAAAAGAAATGTAAACTTAATTTTTCCAATATACAGTAAAAATATTTAAGTTTCTGTAGAAAAAGAAATACACTTAAGATATTGATTTTTTTTAAATCAATAAATATATTTAGAAGTTATATATACTTTGTAGTAACTGCCATTGTACAATTAAATGTTAAATCTTTGATTTTACTTGTATCTAGTTGCACCTTATTACTAATTAAATCTATACAAGTTAAAGAGAAACAAAACACCTTTTTTGCCGAGAAATAAACATAATTTTAAACAACGAACGTTTTCAGCCTAATTAATAGGCCATCTTCAGGTTGAAAACGAAAATGGAACGTAAATGTTCCATGAATAGAACATAAAAATTTAAATTTTTATGTTCTATTTAAATTTTTATGTTCTATTCATGGAACATTTACGTTCCATTTTAGTTTTCAACCTGAAGATGGCCTATTAATTAGGCTGAAAACGTTCGTTGTTTAAAATTATGTTTATTTCTCGGCAAAAAAGGTGTTTTGTTTCTCTTTATTTAGTTGCTGAGCGCTTTTGATATTCTATACAAGTTAGCTATTTCTTTATATTTTATAATATTATACACTCTTATTTAAATACTGTTAACTTATTTTACTTTAACATAAATTACTTGCTTTGTATCCAGTTCTTGGATCCTGCAACTGGAATTTTGTCAACTAATTTAAAATAGAAGGCAGAAATTTTGAGGACGTACCCGCGATGATAAGTTTTATTGTCATTTTAGAGGCGTGATGTCACCCCTGCCATCCTCCAAAACTGGATAAACATAACCATGCAAATGTGTGTTAAATCCATTGTAGTGGTGATCTATAGGGTGGTGGCAGTCCCACTCCCACCTTNAATGCTAACAAATTTATTTGTTTTTACAATAATTTGTTTATTATTACTTGAATGTTTCAAGCAATATTATATTTACAGATGCGATTTGTTGATGCCATTTTAAGTAATAATTCAACAGATGATCACTGTCGTGAATTTGTTAGACAGAAAGGTTTAGTGCCTTTAATGGGAATACTTGGATTACCAAATTTACCTATAGATTTTCCAATTACACCAACTTGTCAAGCTGTTGCTAGTGTATGCAAATCTATTTTGGTAAGTTTTAAAAAAATGATGACAATAAAATTTTTTACTTATTTTTATTATAATAAAATGCCTGTGATAGAATTTAGCACATGAACCTCAAGTGCTCAAACAAGGATTATTGCATCTCAATGAAGTTCTTCAGTCTTTGGAACCATTGCATCGACCATTGGATCCTCCAGGTGGTAGTGTTCTTTTAGAAGAATTAATCAGTTCATCAAATCCAAGTGAAGCAACATTGAGTGCCCAGTCTACACCATTATTACATGCCATGGCTTCTGCACATGCATACATAATTATGTTTGTTCATGTGTGCAGAACTGGACAAGTGAGTTTATTAAAACAAAAATAGTAAAAAATGATTTTAGGATCATTATTGTTAAAATGAACTTTTAACCTCTTCTCAGTCTTCGTTTTTAAGTTGATTGTCCAAAAAGTATCAATATTTTTTAAAATTATATTTTAAATACAATTAATTTTGATGAAAAATCTTCGAAAAAATTGCTTTTACATGTCTTTTCTAAGAGTAAAATGAATTTTTCGTTTTTAGTATTTTTGGAAAATGATTTGTTAGTAACTCAAATTTGTATAAAATTGTCAATATCATTGATACCCATTATTAATTTATAAAATTATAACCTCTCAAACTAATTTGTTTGAAAGGAAAACTCTCAGAAATAAATTAGAGATGTTTTCAGATTCCAAAATGAAACTAAATTATTTTGCCAAAAGCAGCTAAATAATTTGTTACATAATGCTTTCTATTGGAGAAATAGTGAAGTAAACATATATAAACAATGAATACATCAAATGTTAAAAATAAAAATTTCTATAGCATTTTTCACATCAAATATGAAATTCAAAGCAATCAGTGCACATGTACATAAGGGAAGTGGCAATGACTGAGCAGGAGGTTAATTTTTCATTTCATAATTTATATTTATAAACTTAGATTGGTTTTTCTACTTAATTTTTTTGTTTTTTAAAGCTTAAACATTTAAAAAAAATTATTGGTATTATTTTTGTCAAACTAATACTAATGATTAAAGTTTGTACACAGCTTTATACATTACATTTTGGATATTGGTGTTCAATATTACATTGTTTAAAGAAGCACCATTATGCATTATTTTTATAATTTCATGCTTAAAAATGTATTGAGGGCATAATTTTACTTAGAAAATATAAAATGTGATTATATATAGTAAGAAGCAGTTTTGAATTCTTTCTAATATATTAGATTGGCCAAAAAGTTCTTTTGCAATAGTTGTCTTTCAGGTGCTTTGAAATACAACTAACTACAGTTCAAATCTGAAAGCACTTGAATATTTGATACATAACATTTAATCATAATTTGAACCAGAGAGTTTGAAGATTGTGTTTGTGTTATAATTTTGGCATAATTAAAAAGTGGACATCTAAAAGAAGCATTTTTGACATGCTGTTTTATTTCAAAAAAGAAAAAACTACAGCACAGTTTAAACCTGTAAAGAGTTAGGCATGGTATATATGGAGAATGCCAACAAAGAACTCTTGTACTTGAAATGGTTTATGAAATTTTATTAAGGGATTTTTTGTTTTTGTTGACTTCAGGAAATTTATAATGATTAAGTGAAAAGTGTAATTGATGACAATCTGCATTATTTAGTGTGGGAAATTGCATTGTTGAGTAGATATTTTGTTCCATAAAAAAATTGCCTTCTATTTATAAATTTAAAATCTGCACAAACTTTTTAGCAAACTCAGTATAAGCATTTAAATAGAAAACAATCATAACAACAATGACAGTCTGTTTGCTTCATGTGACCCATGAAGTCTTAATATGCTGCCCTAGGCATTGGCAATATAATTTTATTATTGTTGTTTTCTGCCTTGTGCCATTATACAATCCTATGTAAGCTGATATTTGTGATGATAAACATTCAAACTAAATTAATATAAGATGAGAATAAATCTAAATATTATTAGTTTGTATATCATTAACATATATTGGGTTGGCAACTAAGTGATTGCAGATTTTGTCCATAGGTGGCCTTAGCACATTTTTTTGCTTTGTCATCATGTTCAAAGCACCTAACGTATATTGTTTTCTTGTTGTTTGGACTTTCACCTTTAATTTAGTAAAAAAATTGTATTGATTAGTTATTTTGTTTCGTTTTTATTCCAATTTAAAAATGGAAGAACAAGACGTGCATTTCAGACATATTTTATTGTATTATTTCCGAAAAGGCAAGAATGCATCACAAGCACACAAGAAGTTATGTGCCGTATGTGGGAATGAAGTCTTGAAAGAAAGGCAGTGTCAAAATTGGTTTGCCAAATTTTGTTTTGGTGATTTTTCACTGAAAAATGCTCAACAATCTAGCCATCCAGTTGAAGTTGGTGAGACCCATATCAAGGTTATTATCAATTCAGATCGTCATAGCACAACGCGTGAGATTGCGCAGAAGCTCAATGTATCGCATACATGCATAAAAAAAAAAATTAAAACAGCTTGGCTATGTCAAGAAACTGGATTTATTGGTCCCTCATCAGTTTAAGGAAATTCATTTGATGCAACGCAGTAGCATCTGCAATTCGCTTCTGAAACGCAACAAAAATGATCCATTTCTGAAACGACTGATTACTGGCAACGAAAAGTGGATAGTTTATAACAACGTTAATCGGAAAAGATCGTGGGTGATGCAAGATGAACCAGCCCAGACGACACCAAAAACTGAGATTCACCAAAAAAAGATTATGCTGTCAGTTTGGTGGGATTATAAAGGAATTCTGTATTTTGAACTTTTACCAAGAAACCAAATGATTAATTCAAACGTGTACGTTCAACAACTTGCCAAACTGAGTGATGCAGTTGAAGAAAAGAGGCCACAATTGGTAAATTGTAAGGGCGTTGTTTTCCAGCATGATAATGCAAAACCCCACACATCTTTGGTCACTCGCCAAAAATTATTGGAGCTAGGTTGGGTTGTGTTGTCACATCCACTGTATAGCCTTGACCTTGCACCTTCAGATTATCATTTATTTTGTTCCATGCAGAACTCCTTAAATGGTAAAATTTTTAATGACGCTGATGATGTAAAATCAATTTTTATTCCTGATTTTTGCCAGCAAAAAACTAAGTTTTATGAACATGGAATTATGACACTGCCTGAAAGATGGCAAAAGGTCATTGACAAAAACAGACAATACCTAATTGAATAAAGTTATATTTTTAAGCAAAAATTTTGAATTTTCCTTCTTATTTAAAATCCGCAATTACTTAGTTGCCAACCCAATATTATTTTAGTACCTAGCATACTTGCAGTTAAAGTATATTGGCACTCAGCATGATTGAAACTTGGAACTCAATAAAAAACAAATTTATTTTATCATATGGAGTTCACTGTGGCGTGCATCCAGAAAAGATTGCTCCTCACTGATTCATAAAGTTTTTTGTAATGTTGAAACTATAATCTAATGATGTCAGTTACTGAAAATTAAGTGTGTTAAGTAAATTAATGTACAGGGTGGTTATAATTAAAGTTGCCCTACTCAGATCTGTATAGAGACCATTCTTGTTGACATATTTTGATGAAACTTGGTATATATGTTATATGAACCATGGGGAAAAGGAAAATGCAAAAAAATAATTAGTTCAAATTTCTACCACTAGGTGAAAAAATGGCGCATGAAGAACAAGAGAAACAAAATGGAAATATGCAAAAGGTTTTTATTCACGAAATTTGTTCAATGTGCAATCCATTTGCATCAATCATATTCAAAGCGCCTTACAGCGTGTTCAACAGTAGCCCTATAGATTTCTTGAGAAATTGCAGCAATATGGTGTATTATGCTTGCTTTCAATTCAGGCAGAGTTCATATGCCTCCTCTATAGACACAATCTTTCATATATCCTCACAACCATACTCTGCTAGCAGAATATAACTTCAATATTTAAAATTAATCATCGAACTACCGTAAACAGAAAATTGGAATAGAATCTTGTTAATCTGGCAATGTTAAAAACTGGCCGGTGCGGGAGAAGCCAAGCGCCGAATTGGCAAGATTCTACCATGTTACGAAGGGAATACACTCAGACATTTCAAAAGTTTGTGTAAAACATACTGTTGTGTCGAATTTAAAATAGTAAACTGAATTTCTCGGGAAGTTGTTTTAAAATTTTCTGTTAGTTTTGTGGTTGGGTTTTGTTTCTATTTCATAATGACGAACCCGAAAAGTCCAAAACTAATGTGGATAGTAGTAGCCATTGGAACTAAAAGATAAATTTAAATGCAGTAGGATGTCCTAGAGCAGAGAAATTTGTATCAACAGGCTAATTATATTTTAAAACTGAATTTTTTAAAACCAATTTTATTTCTTTCCTTCTATTGAAATGATTATTTTTGGAAAATTTGTATAGTTTTTCCTTAATCTCCCTCTGCTGTGTCATTACTAACTAGTAAGAATGTTTCAGAAAACAAATGAAACTTGGCACCTTATTTAAATAGAAAGAAAACTCTGATCTCTTGCTAAGGACTTTTTTTAACAAGCAAGAAACAGATATTTTTTTTTTTTGCTTTCAGGCAAGATAGAAACAGAGCAATTTTTGGCATTTTGATTCCCTAAAAATTTATGCTGTAATATTAACTAAGGACATTGTGTTATGTTTTAAATGTTTTGACTTCAATAAAGCAGTTTATGTTTAATTTAAACAAATAATGTTTTTGAGAAAAAAGAGGAAATCAGTTATTCCTGAATAAAAGTATTTATTCAAAAATGGCAAACTCTTGTACGATTTTAAATCAATAGAAATTCCTTGCGGAATGCATTATTATATTTCCAGCTTCTCACATTTCGAGTCGTAATATCTCACAACACCTCACAAGATTTTGTGTGTAAATTTTAAGCAGAGTGCAGAAGAAAAAAATATTGGTGATCAGTAAGCACAAACAAAACATTGCATAGGTAACTTTTATTTATTTTACATAACCGTGTCACATATTGAAATAATAAATTATATTATCCAACTTAAACATAGCTAAATCGTATTCGATAAACCAAATTTAAAATATCGAGATCCCGATAAATTGCAAATATTGACAATGGTTTTTTATTTTATTTATTTATTTTTTTCATTTAATGCTCTTAGCTCTAAAATCAAGTACTATCTGTACAAAAAATGTGTAAAATAGAATATATAACAAGTTGTATAAAAACGTTTTCCGAAAGAATCTATGTACATTCATTATAGAATAAAGTGCTGTTTTGTTAACTACATTTTGCAAGAAAAATTTCAAGATATTTTTTTTATTTTTATTATTTTTTTTTAATTTCTTAAGTGCCAAAAGCTAAACAGAAAAAAAGGCAGAAACAGGTAAGATACAG